ATATATAAAGTAAATTTTTTGTATTTCTGTAGATATATATATTTTGAACCCCCTAAATAGCAAAGAGAAAGATGTGTTAAATCCAGCAATTCTAAATAAGCTGGAGATGAAGAACAAACTGATTGAGAGAGAAGAAGAGATTCTGTATAGATTGAATTATCACTATTCTGCTTAACTGAAACAGATGCTTTACAATGCTTTATATAGAAGTTACTAGCTATCTAACTGAATAACAAACTCTAACTAATCTTCACGTGTTAATTAAAACTAATTGACAGCTAACTAACACTAATCGATAGCTAACTAACACTAATCAACAGCTGTACACATAACCAGCTGCTCAACATCCTCCCTCAAGCTAGGTGTATGAAAAACATTCTTCATTCCTAGCTTGGTAAGTAGATAGCTATGCTGCAAACATGTGAGTCCTTTAGTAAGCAAGTCTGCAGGTTGTTCTGTTGTATTTAAGTACACTGGTTGAACTATTCCCATTTGAACCTTCTCCCTGATGAAATGACAATCAAGTCTGCAAACATTTGGTAAGTAGATAGCTATGCTGCAAACATGTGAGTCCTTTAGTAAGCAAGTCTGCAGGTTGTTCTGTTGTATTTAAGTACACTGGTTGAACTATTCCCATTTGAACCTTCTCCCTGATGAAATGACAATCAAGTCTGCAAACATTTGGTAAGTAGATAGCTATGCTGCAAACATGTGAGTCCTTTAGTAAGCAAGTCTGCAGGTTGTTCTGTTGTATTTAAGTACACTGGTTGAACTATTCCCATTTGAACCTTCTCCCTGATGAAATGACAATCAAGTCTGCAAACATTTGGTAAGTAGATAGCTATGCTGCAAACATGTGAGTCCTTTAGTAAGCAAGTCTGCAGGTTGTTCTGTTGTATTTAAGTACACTGGTTGAACTATTCCCATTTGAACCTTCTCCCTGATGAAATGACAATCAAGTCTGCAAACATTTGGTAAGTAGATAGCTATGCTGCAAACATGTGAGTCCTTTAGTAAGCAAGTCTGCAGGTTGTTCTGTTGTATTTAAGTACACTGGTTGAACTATTCCCATTTGAACCTTCTCCCTGATGAAATGACAATCAAGTCTGCAAACATTTGGTAAGTAGATAGCTATGCTGCAAACATGTGAGTCCTTTAGTAAGCAAGTCTGCAGGTT